TTCACATTGCGAACTGTCCAACTTCTCCATAAAAAGGAAGTTCTTAAATCAAGAGAGAGTACCTAAAACATCTTCACTGTCAGCTGCATACTTTTACCATTTCTTGGTCTATGGGAGACTTGAAAAGTGAAAGGCATGGAGGCTTCTACCTTCCCTTATGCTTTCTGTATAAAGCTGTATAGCAGCTTTATAAATTAGGAGCTTTCCTCTGCCACTCAACTTTTTGGGGTGAAAGCCCATGTCTCTCAATGTCAGCCCACTGGCACAAGCCAGCCTGGCTGACTTAATGGACAGGCTCTGCCCAAATACAGCTTTATCTAGGCTAGCTTTCCTTTTAAGAAGATTTGGATTCAGCCTCATTTACATAGTTCAGGTGATGAATCAAAGATATACTATTCTTAGAAGAACCGGTTTTAGCCAGCAAATAAGTCAGCCGGAGTGAGAGATTCTTTGGGAGTCAGGCAAAAAAATCCCCTTTTATGTACGGTGCTCGTATCGATGATCTACAGAGCTCAGGAGTGGAGGAAGGCAGCTAGGCACACAAGAGGGAAGAAATTCTGTCTTGTCTCTCACAGTGAGTGGTCTGCAGGATTAGACTTCTGAGAGAAAGCAGGCTCTTGTCTGAGACTCTGGAGGATTAGGGTTACTATCTTAAATTCAACAAGTTTTGTTCCACTTTGGGGAAATAAAGCAAAGACCTCTGAGAAAAGGAACCTAGAAAATCTGACTGTGAAGAACATTCCTTCGTAGACAAACTAAAGCAGTGCTCAGCAATGATGCATGCTTGTAAGACCAGAGCTTGTGTCTCCAACCTTCTTTTTTTGGCTACTCATGAGAAAAACAAAAGATTAAATTCAATGGCAGATTTAAGGGAGAGCAGACAAAGTATAGAGGAAAGAACCTCTGAACCCAACATACCAAGACCTAGAACCTTCGCCAGCTCTCATATCAGAGTTATCCTGTCGGGAAAAGACATTGTGCGCATGTGTCCCATGAATTCATTTGGAAACAGGACTACAAACTGTTTCCTTCACTAAAGGACATGAGAAAACCTTAGAGGATCAATCTGCCATAAATGGCAAAGGAACATTTCAGAAGCTTATGCTCCATGTCACCCACAACACCCACAGCACCCGCAACAGAGCTCTGGCTTCTTGCAATGCAGTTATTTATCAAAGCAGCATCTAACACACCTGACTGATGGCATGCAAAAGGAAACTTACTACTTTTTTCCAGACAGTATCTTGCTAATGGTTACTGAGCCTTTGACTTCCTCAAGCCCAAGCTAACAATGAAATATGGAAGTATCTACCAGAATCATGAAAAGATTTAGCTTGTTATGATAAAAATGAGTAAGACCTAAGTTTACAAACTGAATTCAGATACAAACCCAGGGTTCTCTGGTACATCTGTGTGCCAGGGACATCCTGGGAGGGTGGAAAGGAGAAAAGCAGCTCTGACACAGTACCAGGAGGTTTTACAATGTGCGGGATGCACACTGCGTCAGCATGCTATGTCCCTATACCTAGGGAGGCAAACAGTGACAATTTTGACACCTATTCTACTGATGTGGCTTTTGGTCTTCTCCAACATTGCCGTAGCAGGCAGGAGGCAGAGAGACTCCGTGGATCCCCTTTGCAATGCTCATATCCCACCTGGAACCTGGAGCACTGGGGTCTGCTGGGGCTATGACAGCCAAGTGCCACGGGTCCGCAGCCCTGGCATGGTGGATGGTACGGCTCAGTCTGCTGCCCAGACAACCAGGGTGTACTTTGACATGCTGCCTGTCTACTCGCCGCTCTGTATCCCTTCCAAGGCGCTCAAAGGGAATGGCTACGGTTTAGCTCTTTATTTTCTGCAAAAGCTGCTAGTAATTTTTTCCTAGTCAAAACAAACCAAAACAATTCAGAACTCAACCCAGTACAAACATAATGTGAATAAATGATCTAGGAAAAAGATTTCTCCGATTTCTCATCTGCAAAGCTTTATCCATCAATTACCTGTTTTATGTAAAACTGTCGCCAGCTTATTATCCTGCCATAAAGGAGAAATCTCCTTAAAACACCCACTCGGATGACTGACATCTCATCGTTACTACAAACAGCAACAGTTACACTATTAAATTGCCAAAGGGAACTTTTTCACGAAATACGAAAGGCACCTGTGAGCTGACAGGCACCAGATGGGTACATGGTTTATGGAACTGCCTGACAGCACAGGGAACAGCTTTCAGGGGTCATCTTCCTCACTCACTTCTGCTTAACTCCTCTTCACATTGCATGGCTGAGCCTATTGTTTGCCCTACCGATACTGTATTTCCATGGCTCGTGCTGAAACAACTTTTTTCCTTTCGCTTCTTTTAACTCCTAACATAATCCACATTCTACCACGCATTGCTGCCAACTCTCACCATATTATCACAATGTGCCTGTATCACTTGTTCTTTTTAAGCTTCTAGCTCCAGCAGCCATCATCATATTTATATGAGAAGGCCATTTTCAAGACCCACTTGAACAAGAGAGCAAGGAAAGACCATCACCAGTTCATAAAAGCATTTTAAAATAACCTCATGACTTTCAGGGGCTGAGATGCAATTTTTGGAACATTTTGATTCAGCCAGAGTTGGAACTGCAGCACACCATGCTACTCAACAGCAAAAAAACTTCAGGTCTTATGAACATGGAAAGTGTATGTAACTTCCTTCAAGATTTACACATAAGAGTTCATGATTCTAAAAAGCCTACCATTAACCTCACTAAAGATGAACTCCTTGCATCTATTACTCCTGACTGTCCACTAGCTAGCATTTCCCTATCTCAGTTCCCATGACGGAGCGTTGTGATCTGACACACCAGCAAGTTTTATGGTCTGAGCAGAAGGCAGTGAGCCAGGTATTCCTGCTTCAGCTCTGATTTTGATGCTCTGTGAGCATTAGCAAACCTCCATTCTGTGGTTGTGAACTCCTCGCTCTGCCCGTGGGTGTGGGTGTAATCCATACCTACTGCATCTGCCATAAAAAATCACCGAGGATTAATCTGTCAAGTGAGCTGCGTCTGTGAGATCCAGCGGGCCTTTCTCTTCCACTGAGTTCAACAGACTGGCTCACATTCTTGCTTAATGTGCTAAAAGGTAAAGAATAACTGAAATGTGTTCACAATGACTATCCAGTGAGTTGCACCGGATTTGCGCTGTGTAACACCGTTGCTGATGTGTGGAACTGACCCTTAACACCTTTTTTTGGGCAGACTATTCCTCTGCAATACATCTATCTTGTTCCTTTTCAGGGGACTCAAGATGTTTACGTGTAGAAGAACTTCATGTTTAGATGTAAGAGGAAAGTACACTTGAAGTGTTTCACATCTTCTGTATGGTCACATTGACATTCTATGATGCCTGGAATACCAAGTTTGTTCATTTTTTGTCTTCCTTCTCCCTCTTCCATACATACTTCATTTTCTGAGAGCGACTGCAGTGATAGCTATATGTTCTTCTGTACTGAGCCTACTTCCTTATGGCAATCATTTTTAATTTCTCCCTGTAAGGTCAACACAATATATAGGGAGTGCAGAGTGTAACGATGTGTTTGAAATCGATACCGAACCTTTCCTGCTTCATTGGAGTTCTACCTTCTGCAAAGTCAGCTAGAGGGGATTTCAACATAGTTAGAAATCTGTATGTCTAAAAAAACCCTGTACCTTAGGAAAACTTCCAAGACCTGACAGTTCCAAAAGGCTGTATTTAGGGATGCATAAAATAATAAGTGGTCTGATCTAACCCCAAAGTTAACCTGAAACATTTTAAAGGAGTTTTCCATGGCTTTTATAACTCTTTTCCCCTGACCCAAAACACATCTGGTTCTAGTTGGCACCAAAAGACAGACATATTTAAATGTCATGAAAAAGGCTAATCTTGTATTTCTGTCTTGTTGGGAGACAGGAAGTACTAGAAATCTCATAAGAAAGGCAGTTCTCCTTGGACATTCAGCCACTTTTTACATAGTCAAGAGATTTACATAGCTCAGAGAAGAATACAAATTTTTGTGTTAGCAGAACTGACCCTCTCAACCTCCAGAGGCTCATTCGTCACTAGGTAGAGGTTACTAGAAGACGCTGGAAAGGCTGCTCACTCTAACAGCCATCCATGAAGTTCTTGATCTTTTGTATCCTTGCTTTTTCCTCTAGGAAAATCCAACAAATGCAATAGTATTTAAGAACACTTTTTGACAGGGAAAAGAAGTGGTGCATTATTCAAGATGCTACAGAAAGAAAATAAAAATGGTCCGTATCCTGTGATTCCACATTAATCTTTACTTTTCCCTTACTCAAACTCTTGTTACCAAGGTAGACCTGAGTAAAGGTAACAAAATTAATATGGACTCTGGAACTGCCAAACATTTCACAGTATTTACTGCAATTCATCTATAGAAAACACTATAGTCATAAAGTACATTTTCCATAGATGGCCTAGGTTCAGTTTGTGGTAGTTATACAGCCCCCTGAATATTTCTGAAGAGCTGGACTGCAAGTGTTTAAGATTTAATGAAAACCAATAGGAATGAGTTGCTGAAGTTACTTTCAATATGATACACAGTTTTTAACTGGCTTAAACACTTTTGAACATTCAACCCATGAGCCACTTCTACAATTATATGGCAAGGTGATGCATATGTACTTAGTGTCTTCTTTCACAAAAGGAAAACCTGAAACCAAATCTTACCCATGGCTACAAGGAAAGGGTCACATTGAATTTAGACACTGAACATCCCTGCACGCATTTTCATGCTCAGACCATGCTTTTCTTTATGACCCTACTATATCCACAGTAAAAGGCATGCCTACCAGTGACGAAATACTGACGTCTCACAAGTCTTATCTTCTCGGCAGGTTCTGCTGGCATGCTTGTGGCAGAACAGAACTCACAGCATGTATTGGTGCTAATGGAAGAACATGTTAATGTTTTAAGTAGGTGAAAAACAATATGTGAAGTATGTGTTCATTTACCTTTTTGGTCTTCTTTTTTGCCTTCCAATGCTGATGCTTTCTCTGATAAAGTACCACTATCTTCACTGGTTTTTACCACATTTTCTTCCTGTATGCTTTCTTCACCAATGGCTACTGTGTGTCCATTTGAAGTTTCAAAATTTACCGTTACGTCACCATCTGAAATGAAAATCAAAAAGCTATTGCCTAGTTTAACGGCTTCCTTTTGACAATCTATTGACAACACATAGCATCCCTCTGCTTTCAAGTTTCCATGGAAGCAAAGCAGGAAGACTTACTGAAATGTGAAACGTCAGGCTGCAGATGTGCTCTGCAAAGTAATTCTGTAAAGGAACTTGATGGGTTTCCACATTCGTTGGGTGGACATCTGTGTAGCAGCGGGCCTGGAAGCGCACGCAGGTTTTCAGCTCCAGCTTTGTGTCTGTACAGATTAGCATCCCGTTCTCTCCCCTCTTGCATCTTGGTTTACACAGCAAAGAAGTGTGTGCATTGATCACAATGGAACTGCAACGTGGTCCAACATGCCCCAAATCTGGATAATTAGAGGGCAGAGTTGCAGGACTATTGTGGTGCACCCCAGTAGGTAAAGCAGCCAGGAATTCAGGCAGAAGTTCTCAGAATATGTGTGCCCAGTTAATGAATAAAATAGGTCACAAAGTCATTATCCAGTCTTAAGAACCAAGGCGAAGTCTTCCTGTATCATGTATCTTACCATTATTAAATTTTGCATGTCAAATTCTTTCCCAGCTCTGATATTTTATTCACTTACCCAGACCACCTCAGCTATGAGGTTTCTTCTAATCCTGCAACACATTCTTTCTCTTCCCTATTTGTCTCTATATTCCTGAAAAATGCTACATGCTTTTGCTGGCTGACAGCTTTCTCTCTTCCCTTATTTACTGATTTCTGTTCTCTGTCCCATGCATTTTAAAATTGTTGTTGATTTTCTTCTCTGGTCATTTCTAAGGCTTGTAATCCTTATTTTGCTCACACCCCACCTGCAGTTCACATAGATGATTGGTTTCCTTCTGCAGGATTCTCTTGCTGTCCATCTACCTGCTGTCTCTTCTGGTTCCTCCTGTTGATTCTTCATTAATTGTGGTAATTCCACTCTCCTGTTCTCCTCCTCTGCCTTGCTGTGTGCTATCAGACCTGGATGTTTGGTACTTCCCTGGTTTTAACACAGTGACACAGCCTCTCTCTTACCACTTTGGGTGCTCCATGGGTTAAGCTGATGGCTTCATTCTCCCCACACACCAACTTCAACTTGATGTGTAAAAATTAAGTGCTGCCTTCTTAACCTCGTCTCATTCACTATAGCTGACAGTTGCACAAGGCTTCCTTCTTACCTTACCACAACACTCAGTTTCTTCAGCTTCTCTCTTCCAGATATTCGTAAATCCATTCTCTCTTCTCTGCATCCACATGTGGCATGCCCACCTCCTACTCATGTCACAGTTCTGCAAACACCTCCTGCCTCCAAGTGGCATTTGCCACTTTCCGCTTCATTCTTCTTCATCCCATGTGAAACATTGTCACTTTTACACTTTTCTTACCTCTCACATTTCAAGAGTCCATGTGATTTCCTCATCTAGCTTTTACCTCCATAGTCATTCCTCCTAACTTCCTTCACACTGCTCAACCACCATCTTTCCTATATCTCCATTTTTAGCACCTTCAAACCAATCCTATATTCTTTCAAAATGCTCCTTAAAAATTACAATTTTCATCAGACATGAAGCACAACATGAAGAAGGCAACACAGACTGGATTGACAGAGAAAGGAGAGAAAATTGTTCATCTTTATGTCCTTTTCTCATATTGCTCAATCTCCATCAGGGATCCCAAGTCCCATCCCCTTTTTAGAATAGAGGGTCAAGGACACTGATGACCAAAGCATATATACTTTTAGCACAAATGATAGTATTTACGTTCAGACTGTAACCAACCTGACACGTTAACACATTTCATTAACTGTTCCAGCAGCCTAAATGCAATTCACAACCATCAATGGACAAAGTCAGGCAGCTCCCCAGAAAAGTGCATAGCAAAAAATGTTAACAAAGTCACAGTTGGACAAACTGAGGTATGGAGAGTTTACATGTCTTGTTTTAAGTCAAAGACAGTGGCAGAGACAAGTTCATAAGGCAGCTATACTGAATGTCATAGTCTGCTAATTAGCAAAACACTGTAAAGACAAGTGATGTCACACGTCAACAAACAAGCCGTTTACTTCTAAATATCAATGTGTACAATACGAACCATACACATTGATGCTTTCATGATTCTTCAGCTCAGGCAGAGTAATGCAATTTCTAGGAGAAAAATATTTTTGGAAATCATGGAGGAGTTAAGACTCCTTGATAAAATGACAAATGGTTTGATTTTAAGCTACAGAAAAGTATTTTACTCACTTGACTTTTCTTTGATCTAGATTTATAGAAGATCAAGAATATTAGAAAGACTACCACCAGAAACACAATCAGATGTACCACAGAGGTGTTAACCATGGTTTACTCAGGCTTTTTGAAACACAAATTCTGGTTAATACCAGTTACTAAACCTTACAGCATTGTGAAACAAGTGGTGTCTTCCCCACAGTTTTATGTTTGTGACATTTGTGAATGTGGTTGGTGTGACAGTGGTGGGATTTGTATGATCCCAACACTGGTACTTTTTGATACCTGAAATGGATGCTATTGATTTGCTAGGGGTCCCAAAGCCTCTAATTTTTTCAGCCAAAATGTCTCATATTATATTCCAGTTGCTTTAGACAGCAGACCTTGACTGAAAAAATAAAAGTTAATCACTAACTCAAAAAAATTCTGGCAAACAATAAGCAGGAACCACAGCAGTCATATTATTTACAGGGCGCATCAAAATACTTCAGGATATGACCAGAAGCCAGATGGTGTACCTATGGCAGGAGCAGTTACAGAACACAAATCTCTCAACTCCAGCTTTAGTTCTGTTGTCTACTGGCCAAAATTACCTCTCACATTCCTCGGCTTTCTCTCCTCATACCTATTTATACTACATGGAAACAATGCAATACTGGCTTTATCATCCATGTTTAGCACTTAGGAGCTAAATTCTAGTTAATGTGTTATCACCTTGCTCAGGCATTTCCTTCAGCACTCCCCTTCTTATCAGCTCCTCTCTGCTTTGTCTTGTCGAAATCTTCCTTTCCAACACTAAAGAAAAAGCAGAGTTAAGAATAGGTTTATTCTCATACTGCCGATGCTTGTGAAAAAATGTAGAAAAATATTTTTATTTTATAGAAGCCCTGAGAAATCTTGTTTCCTCTGATTCTGCAGGAGAAGTGGTCTGGGTTTTCATGGACACACTCTGAAAATATTGTCCCACTATTTCAGGCACAGAAGGTAGGGGATTCACATGATCCAGTATCTTTAGCTGAGAGAGGCTCCATGAGGATTCTTCTACAGCTGATGGAAAAAGCTAATTCCAGAGTGAAACTGAACTCATCCTAGCATAGGCATTTAACATGTAAAAGCACCTCTTCCCCATTGACTGGGTTGACTACCTCAGCTGGAGATACCTCCTTCTGCTTTGTACATGTTTTGAGGTGGGAGAGGCAAGTCCTGCTCAGAGCAAGCAACTCACAGAGTAGCCTTTGTGACATACAAACTATTTGAAATGGAAAAAAAAACCACCCTTAAACAGAAGCTAGAAAGTTGTGTTCTAAAAGGGAATAACACCCTCATCCAGGCTGGTTGGCTTTCATGGAAAAAAATAGAGCATTCTGGGTTTAGGTTAAAAAAAGCACACAACACACACAAACAAAGACTGTGACATGAAGCATTTTAATTATTATGTTTACTTCCCATGGGAAAAATGCTAAACAGTTTTACAGGGAAAAGTATTCACAGATGGCAAAATAGAATAGCTCCCCACTGCACCCCAAGCCCAAACCAATATAATTTGTGTCAGTGATCTGGGAGGCCGCTGTAATGATCTGTGGAACCGTGGTCCATGGTCCATAGAACGTGAGCATCACTTGTAAAATCCTGTCTTCACTGTTAGGAAAAGTTAATCTCCCATCCTGATTCTGTTTATATATGGACATCGAAACCCAAGTGATGTCTGGAGCTCAAGCTGAGGGCATGTGGCAAAGCTTCAGCCACGCTAGACTTCATCTTGTTAATGCTATGGGATAGGGTTATTTATCTCATCGAATAATTCACTCTCTAGGGCCAGTCTAATTGTTGTATGCAGATTAAACACTGCAAGAACTATTGTCAGTCTCACTTGCGCCAGCCCAGTTGGAGGGAACAGCCATATGGTGAAGTGATGGCTCCTGTAAAGGCACGGAGAGGGGCAGTTTGGCTCTTCGGAGAAAGTTACGCTCCGGGCACAGCAAAACGTCTTTCCCCACAGCAAGTAACTCCAGCTGCCACCTCACACCCAGGCTGGCTGACCTCAGACGCCCGAAGGCATCACTGCTCACGGCTCCCCGCTCCCCTTCTCTGCCAGGGAAAGGGGATGGTTGAACAGAAGATGAAGCAGATTCTGTGGTTCTCAAATTTACAGCACTGGGTTTATTTCTCACACTGCAAAGTGTCAGGATTCAGTAATCACTCCACATGGGATGCATCTCCCTGCCAAAATAGCACCAATACTGGCAGAACAACTTGGGGCAGTAACCATTTTGACCAGCCCAGTTCAAGCTACCCACGCCTGTGAGATCAACAGCTCACAAATGCAAACAGTACTGGCCCAAGACCATGTAAGTTGGCATTAGGTCTGTGTTTATATACTCAGATACTTTGTGGGACCTGTCCGTTAAAGGTCAAACCTTCATGGCGTTCAAATCATATTTGACAATATAAAGGAGCCCGTGAGTGTGGCTGCAGACTCTCAATATAAGCCAGGCTCCTTGGGGAGAGAGTGGCAGCCTGAACTCAGGTCAGGTTAGACTGCCTCAGGTCCCAGCCCTAAATTATTCAGGAGCTCTTCCAGTTTTCCCCCATTATTTTTTAAGGTTTATGCCTTGCAACCATGTGTCACACATTGGCATGGCAAACAAAGCACAGGAGTGTGCCCTATTCTTGCAAAGTTTTTCATGTAGGTGAACACTCAGTTCCACAAAGACTGCTTTTAAAGAGATGGGGGGCCACGAAGTCAGAGGACTATGTGGGCAGGCATGGATGGAGGGTCTTAATCTCCCTAGAAAGCAGGTATATTTACAGAGTGAAATCTCCTTTGATGTAGACCCCAAGGATGAGCACTTTACACACATATTTATACCTGTTTTGTTCCTGGCAATATAAATATTCTCTTATTACCTCAGCTTTACAAGTATTATTTACTGCCTACTATTTTTCCTCTCTGCTTCCTTTTTTACATCTGTTTTCTTGGGGACAGTGAAATGAGATGACCTCTCATACATTTATTTGTGGAACTTAATCCAATACCACTTGAAAACAATGATGCTCTTTCCATGAAGTTCAAGAACATTCAATCAGGCCCCCCATCAATGCCTCTCTCTAGTTTTCAGGATATGTTTTTTCAGTTCTACAACACTGAATGAACAACTGTATCAAAGTAATTACCATGGAAGATGCCAATTGGCATTAAAAGACATTAGCTCCTTAGACTTTTACTGGAAGACCTCAAAGCATTTTATTAACATTACATAGGTTTCATAACATCCCTTAGACACAACTATCTCCATTTCACAGATTAGAGAATTTATGAACAGATAAGAAGCTTAAGCCCCAATCCTTCATCATCTAAAATGCTAGCCATGAGTGGTGTTTTTATTTAAACTGATTAAGCTCAGTTAATTCAGCTTGAAAGATAATTTATTTAAAATATTATTTGGTTCATGGAAAGAACATTAGAAATCATGCTAGTATTCACTATGAGTATCACAATTTTAATTCCTACAAAGAAAAAGGCAGAATTTTAATTTTAATCAAAGTGATCAAAAGTATGTCCCTGTGTATAAGAGGAATGAGCAACCTGTCTTCTTATAAACCTATACTGGGTGCTATTTAGTCAGGGTGAACTCATCATTATAATTTATTGCTTACTACAGACTTTGGACTACACATTTCACATTTATACACTCAAGTATTTTGATTATCACAGCCCAATTGCACTGAGCTTTAAGGGTCTCAAACTACCCAGTTGAGCTAATCACATTTGACTACTGTTATGTTTCAGTAAACTCTCTTAAAATAAGAGAGTTACAAACTCAAGCAGTCAGAAATCAGGAAATGTTTGAATGAAGGCTGATGGGTGTGCTGATGGCACAGCTTTTATTTGCTTGTTATATATTTCACCTTTGCCATCCCTGCCAGATACAGACTGCACAGTGTTCAATGAACAGTTTCTTTGCCTAAATTTTTAACCTTACCTTTCACTCTATGGCCCAGACCTCATCTAAGGAACAATCTAGACTTTAATCTGAACAGAAAACTCCTAGTTTTCCCAAATGTCACCCTAACAACTGAGTGAATGAAAGGCAACATGTTCTTCTCCCTGATGCCCATGTGAGATGCAAAGGTGTCACTACGATTGTATAGACAGGCAGCTTATATCACAGAATAATAAAGTCACACTATCAAACACGCTGACATTTGTTAAGTGTTTAATTTGAGGTACCCTTTCAGGTGTAATTTCATAGAATCATAGAATCATTTAGATGAGGTGTAATTTCACAGAATCATAGAATCATTTAGATTGG